CTGAAAAGTGGCAGTGTTGCTCGAGCAGCCATTTGTCAAAAAATCTAAATACGTAAATGAACTGAACGTTAAGAAGGAGTAAGGGCGGTCGTTTGCTGCAGGATGCGTTCGTTTCTGAGTCTGTGGTAAAGTTGAGTACTTCTCATACCCACCTGCGGGGAATTTCACTTTCTGGGAGAATTAAGATTGCACTTGAAAGCAAAGTTTCAGCCTCGCACATTGTTCGATAACGGAAATAGCCATTTCGCTACAAACATTTTTGAAATGCCCTAAGTCGTGATGTAAATCGGAACTCAATTTAGATGTACGACTTCCCATACGGACGATAGATATTCTGACTGTATTTGGTGCAAACTATGACGTGACAGTACGCGCTGCACTACGTATGCTGTGGCTGAATTTGAAATCTTAAGCTCACACTAGCACATAGAATATTTCTGCAGAGTTACAGCTTTCTTTCTTGCCTGGTTTCCAAAATCGTCTTCCGCCAAGGAAATTTGCATATTTTTTTCGAGGACCCGTACACAAGATCAAGGCGCGTACGGGAAATCTTAAAATACAGGAGTGCGGCGCACAGCGTGGGAATATGTCCCCAAAATTTCAGCCTCCCAGTTTTCCTGGTTGCTGAATTGAAAGTGGATGACAAAGTTCACTCGGTTACGAACAAAAACACACACACAGACCTCCTTTCGACAATATGCATTTTTGCTCGTAGCAGCAAAAGCGCATAAAAAGCAAAAATGCAAATATGTGCAGCAATTTAAGCACGCCACAAAGCGTCAATTCTTGTCAGATGCTTCAAAGCTGTATGAGAAACTAGAAGAAAGTTTTGTTTAGGAAACACTACATTTGGCTGTTTCAATTGTCGATCGAACTCTCAAAGTGCTGCAGTGCCCGCGCATGTGTCTGCAGCTAGTTGGCATTGCAGCTATGGTGCTTGCTTCGAAATTGCAAGAAACTGAACCGCTAAGTGCAGCCGAAGTTGCACATACAAGCGGCTTCATTTTTCTCCCCGATCAGGTCCAAATATACTTTCGTCTTATCCATTAAATAAATTGAAGCTGTCTTTTCCTCGTAGGTGCATCCTCTCAGTTTTTGGATATAGCTTACAGTTCGCAGTTCCAGTAGGAAATCTTAACTGCAGGGATGGTTCCGAACGTCTGGGCTCCGTGGTGAGAGATGAACAGGATGATGTAGCAGTTCAAGTAGAAATGGTAGAAATACAAGAATGCTAATGGCATATGTAGGGAGGAAAAGAGGAGGGGCGAAAAGGAGACCAGAGTGAAGCGAGAAGTCGTACGAGGATAATTCTCGATGGCCTGAGGCTCCACTTTCTGCTTAACAGATTACGTGCAATTCGGGGAAA